AATAACAATAATAACTGTAATATGCATGGAGGTAAGGTGATGGCGAAACGTTGCCATGGTTACTGCACACCTGACTCCAGGTGGAAGGCTCATAAAACACAACAAACTCCGACAGTGTCTTGTTCAGCCCGGCAGGGAGAGACACAAGGCATGCAGGAAATCCTCGCGCTCCAGAAACATGCCATTGACACAACTCCAGAGAAAGGGGTGGCCGAGAGAGCTGCCACCCCCTTCCCTTCCGCGTTGTACCCCACTTGTCCTTAACGTGAGAAGAGGAGGACCAGCTGCCTTGTCTGTCAGTTTGCACTAAAAGTCCCGTTGAGCTCAATGGGGAACAATTGTTTTGCACAAGTCCAGGGGGAGGGCGGGGAGGGCACTGCGGGGGGGCGGGGAGTGGGGTGTCGGCGTGTGTGGTAGCCGCCCCAGGCGATGCATTAAAATGCACATTCTTGTTGTGTTTCATGGGAGCTCGCGTGTGGTCGATGAAACAGAGATGGGAGGGACGCTGGGCTGGCGTTCCTCGGTCCTCGCCCCAAGAGGGGGCGGCGAGGGAAAGCAGACCTGACCTCACTCCCCTTCCCCTCCGATCAGGCCACCCTCGGGGGAAGACTCCACCTCCCCCCTGTTTCCCCAGCAGTGTTTTGGGGTACAGTAACTTTTTAACACAGGTCTCTGTTCTCATAGTCCACTGGTGTTTTTTACCATCAGGCCTCTCTTTAATACAGTGCTTCAAGTGACCTGGAGACCTCCTCATCCAGTTCCCTTTTACTTAGATATTATCATTTAAACTCCTAAAAAATCCAAATAATACCTTCAATTTTCATCTGTTAATTTATTTATTTGGCATTTTCCATCATGTGTAATTCCAATATCTAATATCTGGTGTTAAAGTAATGACTCTTTTCACTAATAATCGGCACAGAGAGGGAACCGGCCCCCTCGCCCTGTCCTTCCTGCTCGCTGCCTGACTGGAGCAGTGGCCCAGGAGACACGATTTCCAGGGAGACCTCCGTGCCTCAGGACCCCACAGGTCCAACCCATCTCTCCGTCATCACGGGATTCGGGAGGGAGAAGGGAGGAGGGCAAAGAACTTGTCTTAAGATTTTGTTTAGTTCGAACAAGTACAGCAGAAGTGGGGGGTCACCCCCCTTCCTCTTTGCTGCGATGGTCCTGTGTCCACAACCCACTTCCGATCCAGTCCAAAAATTTGGGGGGGGTGGTCTTATCACAGCAGGGCTGCTTGGAGGCAACCAGGGGCCTGTGGGGACACTATTAGTGCGAGAGGACCAGGTGGAACGAGGGAGGTGAAAGAGAAAACCTGGACTGGATCTCTGGAGGGCTGTGGACACAAAGACGGGGGGGTGTGGCCCACCTGGGAGGAAAACATTCCATGTCTTAACAATTCCCAATCTGAGCCTGAGAGGGGGAAAGGGGGGGTGGGTGGGGGTTTATTCCAAGCCATTACAAAAATTCCCCGTCTCAGACTAGAGCTTTCCTCTCCCTTGTCCCCAGTCCGCCTCTTCCTGCTAATCAGGCCACAGTGGGACAGTGCGCAGGGCTCTGTCCAGTCAGACCCCTGCAGTCCCACTGTCCTGTCGGCTTGTTGACGCGCAGTGATTGTACAGAAGCACTTTCGAATGGCCATCCGTAAACCCTGTTTGTTGTTCATTTGGTTATTGTTGTTATTATTTTGTCGTTATTTTTGTTAATATTCTTATTGATATTTTTTATTTTTATTTAAATGCAAAAACTACATGAAAGCCGTAAACAAAAACTTGAATATTTGATATATTTGGGAAAGACGTTTGTTTTTTTGCCACCCCACGGTATGGAGAGCCTGCCGCGGAGAAACTCATCCACCTAACGCTGAGAGGGAAAAGGGTTTTCATATTTTCATATTTTCTGGCATCACAAATAACAAACAAACACCTAAACAGATTGGCCTGCTGGTTAAAAGACTCCACTCAGAGTTCCTGCTCGCAGTCCTGGAGGTCGCAGGTTCGAATCCGGGCTGCGCTGTTGACCAGTAGCAGTGCTGTGAGGTCTGGGTGGGGAGGGGTCAGCCAGGGTCTCCTCAGGTTGACCACACTGCTAAGGGGCTGAGTGCTGTCAGCAGGTCTTGTGCTAACCCCTCCCAACTGACACTAAAGCACCTTCGCTTAGTTAAAAAAGCCCAATAGAACAGCAGCTGGTTTATGTTTACTGTAGTGGTTCATCTCTGATCAGTGTGGAGCTGAGTAATAATTTCCCTCTCCAAACTGGGGCCTGTTCCGATTTTTATAATTAATAATAATATTCAAGTCTCAGTACGTAAGAAGTCAGTAAACGAGTGAATGAATAAGGACCCCAAAGGGGTGAACGGGCTCTCTCTGTGAAGAGAAGGGAGAGGGGGAGCACTCTGGGGCTGGGGCTGAGGCGACTGGTCCAGAACTAGAACAAGCCCGTTCCTGCCCGCTGTCCCTGCAGGGTGTAACCGGGCCTAGGTTGGTAGAGGGTTCCCCGGCTCTCAGGCTCAGACAGAACGACCCGGTCTATCCCATGAGGCCCTGTTCTGTGTTTGGATTGTCTGTGGTGTGGGGGGGTGTGGGCGAAGAAGGGGGGATTTTGCACTTTTGGCTAAAAGAAAAGAATAAATGTATTTCTATTGTATAAGAGACCACTAAATCAGTATAGTCCGAACTAGAATTACTTCCAGGGTTTTTCTTTTTTTTTTACTAAATATATCCAAATATCTCTGGCGTCCTGGTTTAAAAAAAATCTTTCTATAAAAACAACCCTGTGTGGTGTGTGCCTTTCAGTGTGTGTATTTGCATACATTTACGACTAAAAGCAAGCTGGGTGTGTGTGCAGGAGTTATAGAGAGACAGAGAGGAAGGGGATGGGTCGGGGGGGGGGTTGCTGTCTTTCTGTAAATATTTGGACATTTCTATAGAAATGAATAAGAATCACTGTACTGCAGAGACTAGTTACTGAGCTTCAAAGTGGATAATGATGAATTATCCGCACAGTTCAAGATGTGCAACTTAGTACGAATACAGACAACACAAGCAGATGTTCTCTGGAGCAGCAGAAAAGTATTCAGAGAGTGTAACACCACACCATCCCCGTGTGACCCCATATGCCTGAAGGAACAGTCAGTAAAATCTGTTTTAATAATTATAATTATCCCAAAGGATAAACCGTTTCAGTTGGCTCACGCCCACTCTGAATGTTAACTCTGACACTGAGCCCTGAAATGTCAGTGTGTGCACTCCCAGGTGTAGTCTGCGCTGTCTTAAAGGAAGGAAAATAGAAAAGGGAGTCCAGGGACACTCAGGCACGGGGTCAGATGAAGTGGCACTGCTTCAGACCCAAAGCCTGGAAACATCTCAGGCGAACAAAAACACGCACTCACTCGAAATATTGGGTTTCCCTTCACATGATGTCCTGCTGATGTGTTTCAGACTATACATTTCAAAGTTGCACTGCATTTTTTCACTTGTTTTAACCTGTTATCAATCGCTCTGTTGTTCTTAAAAGCAATCGCTTGCGTGCCCAGCAGCACCAATGTGGACATCCCTGCAGAAGTAGCCGCTGAACCAACAGATCACACCTCACGCACCAGCAGGTGGCAGTCTAGCACCTATAACAGCGCCAGGGCAGGCATTTTGAGATTTTTCTCTGTTTTGCCTGAAGGAGGAAAACTCCTGAAATGCGTTGGAGAAGAAATAATCTACAGACAATTTCAGACAGGTGGGAGGGTTGAGAAGTCTGAACATGGAAAACAAATACAAATCCTGGCTTAAGACACAGGACTTGAACATAGTAGACACTGACCGTCCCTACATACGTTTCTGAAAATATACGCTTTTGTGCTTAATTCCATATTATGATTAGTTTTGTAAAATAACCAGTTGAGCAAGTTTTCTAAAAACATCTTTCAGGTACTTGGGAATAACCATGTCTAATCTGCAGATGCACAATTTGCATCTGGGAAATACGAACTCTGGAGGCTGAAAACACATCAGTCTCCAGAGACAGATGAATATATTTTATTCACAAATACCAGTAAGATAACAGCCTCACACAGGCTCACGCTGCCTCTCGCATCCAAAGCTTAAACAAAGGAAACAACAGGACTCTGACCTGCATCTTTTACTGCTCAGAGGAAGAAGAAAAGTTGAATTCCACACTGAACAGTGGAAGGAAGACAGACAGCGTTGTGGCTGTCGGCCCTCATCACAACACACAGCAGTAACAGACAGAAGAAACAGGCACTGAGAAGGAGGCTCAACAGCCAAAATGTTGTGTTTGTTCTCCGCTTCAGCGTGGAAGTGTCCTGCACTTGTTTCTTTACAGCCAACGCACGGAGACACAGCTCCCCACTGGAACGTCTTTTAGTTCTCTACAAATACAATCAGAAAATTTCCAAATGCTTCCAAGGCGCTCAGCCCTGTAAACTAGTGGACATGGAGAAGATGTGCTTTATCTCCTAACATTTACCCCCACTCTCAAAATTTCCGCTCTCTCCTACTCCTACTATCTACGTCAAGGCGAGGCGGCAGGCCGGAGTCAGTGCTCATTAACCCCAGAGCAGCTCTGGTTACCACGCTCCCTTCACGGACATTACAGACCAGCCCTGTTCAAATTCTTAATACGTTTATAATTGCATTACATCAGAACAAATTACATTACAGTGTTCTGATGCAGTGTGTGTCTACTTGTCGGTGGGGCTCTGCATGCGTGTGTATATGTTACACTGAAACTCAACATTTCCTACATAGAAGCCCTTGACATTGTCCCTGTTTTTACGGAATTCCTTATCCCCAATATCCGACGGTCATCCAGTTCCTCCGATACAGCCACTGCAAGGTCCCGTATCCCAGATTGACATGCTGAGGTACCTAGTTTTGGGATATTTATAGATTTCAACCAGGGCAGGAAGGTGGCGCAGTGGTGAGCATTGCTGCCTCACATCACAGGGCCCCGGGTTCAGTTCCTGGGGTCCTGTCTGTGTGGAGTTTGCATGTTCTCCCCATGTTTGCACAGGTTTCCTCTGGGTGCCCTGGTTTCCTCCCACAGTCCAAAGACATGTTGGTGGGTTAACTGACTTATGGGAAATTGGGCCCGGTGTGAGTGTGTGCTTGCTGGCATCTTTCAGCCCTGTGATGGACTGGCGTCCTGTCCGGCGTGTGTCCTTCCTTGCCAGGATAGACTCCAGCTCTGGCAGGATGTGAGAATCAGCCCTGAACGTGATGTGTCAACAGTGAGCTCCACAGGCTGAATTCTGGGTTTTCAGCCTCAGATCAAGTCCCCTGTATCTCAGTTCGTATGGCTTCAGTGGTAAAAGAGGGGATGAAAGCCAAAAACGAGTCACCAGACTCTAGTGCAGTAGACTTAGAAGGTGGAGTGAAGACAAGGATTCGTTTTTCATGCACTATTTCCTCATCTTCATCTAAGCTGGGTTGAGCTGGAATTCTGCTTTGACCCTTGATTCACCCTGCAGATCTGTTCACACCTGTGGTGTCTAATACAGGTAAGTGTGAGAGCTGGGGGTCAGCTCCCCTGTAGCCCCACTTCCCATAATCACCTCTTTGTATCCCCCCTCTAGCCTGGGGTCCCATAGGGCCCCCCGGGAACACGTCCTCACCCCACCCCCCTCGCCTACGCTGCCCTGCCCCCCGGCGATCCTGCTCCCGAGAGAATCGGGGCGAGGCGCCTTTAAACCACTGCAGTAAAAAACACAAAACTCCGCAGTCATTAATATGCAAAAATGCAAATGAGTAGGTAATTAAGAGCCTGAGTTCTCTAGAGACTCTTTGATTGCTAATGAATTCTAATCTGCCAGGAAGGGGGGAGGGGATGAAAAGGAGGAAGAAAGATTGAAAGAAAGGACAGAAGAGCAAAATTTGGGGTGCAAAGCTCCGACACACCTCCTCTACGCACAGAGACACATGTTCAAACTGTAACCTGGGATCACTGCTTCACATGGCTGAAATAATCACATACGTCACCTACAGACAAGACACCCCGATGAGCATGGAAAAACGCACAATGTTTTGTTTGTGCTCATAGTCTGTCAGTCATTCCTGCTTGGCACCCGGGTGCAGTCCGGTGTAGGAGCTTGGCTGCACGCTTCACCAAGAGGAAGCCAGGACGAGGCAGAGGCAGACGCGGGCGAAGTGCAGGCGCTGTGGAGAAGAGTGGCACATCTGTGCAAGGCTCTGGCAAGGCCAGGATTATCCACTACACAGCAGAGCACTGCAGAGCACCGTATATTGATATGGGAACAGCATTCCGACAGGATGGAAAGCCCTGCCTACTGCAGTATCTGAAGCATCACTGACTGACAGTGAGAGCTAGCTGAACGGTAATTAACACCCAATCCAGAGGAGGTATGCCAAATTGTCACTCCGCAGTCAGACACCCCCGGCATCCAGCTGCACACGTGGGAGCACCACAGGGCATGGTGGGACACGGTGACCTCTGACCTCCCCAAGGAAGGGGGCCAGGTATCTTGGCAGGAAGTGAGCTGTAGCAGCAGCACCGTCACCGAGTGCCAGTGAAGTCATCTCAGCAGTTTGTGAGCAGTAACCCTCACCCTCCCACAAATTACAAACACACACAGCTGTCATTGTTATTCCTCTGCTCCCCTGACACCCCGCCATCTCTCCCCCATCCCCCTCTCCACAAACCCTTCCCCTTGTCTCTCTGCCCTCACTTCTCCTTCCCTCATCCCTCCCATTGCTTCTCCCCTCTGCCCGTCTCCTGCTTGATTCTCCCCCATTGTTCCAAAGCCCAAACCCAGATCCCCAGCAGGCCAAGGTCTGTGCTGGACACTTATTCTGCTGCACTAGGTGGCGCCTGGGTGTTCTGGCTATTGAAGACCTGACTAATAAATTGTTACCTGAGAAAATTTACCTTCACTGCAGTACAGAAGTGACTGGCAATGTCTACAAAAGGGAAATGAGAAATGCTGCTGCTGCCAGGGTGGGTTTTCTAGGTGTTAGGCTGCCTCTTGGACAGCTCTTCTGAAGATCCCGAAGTTGTATTCCTGAACTGAGCTGGAGATCCGCCTTCGCCACCAGCCTTTTCCTCTTTTTCAGATTTTTTTCCTCTGTGCTCTCGGCCCTCCCCATCTGACCAGTCCCTCATCTCTCCGGACTCCTGCTTCTGCCCCACGCGTGAGCTCGACAGGAGTCCAGGCTCCGGAAACAACGATACTCAGCGTCTGCGATTCTGCAACCCACCTGGGGTAGCTGCACACGTATAAGAGCCCTGGGTGCGAATAAGCGTTTGGTTTGCATGGTCCCCATTCTGGCTCTCTCCTGTCCAGGCCCAGTCTATAACCTTTCCCACCTCTAGCGGGCCTGTAACCTCTCAGCCCCCTGTGCCAAACTCCGCGCTCTCCCCCCCCCCCCCCCCCCCCCTCAGCTCACTTTCTCGCTCTCCTCACCGCAGCGCAGCGAAGCGGCAGCACTGAGGTGCCTCGGTTTGTCAACAGGAAGCCCGCCTGCTCTGTGTACTGTACCTGCAGCGTGGGCGGCAGCGCAGGGGCAGCCCAGAGAGTCGGCGGAGAAAAGTGGGACTCCAGGAAGGCGGGGGCGTCGGGCTCTGTTTCGGGGGTATACCCTGGGAGGTCCCTCTTACACAGTCCGGCCCCAGTCGCCCACCAGCACAACTTTTAACACCTAGTAGATCCCAACTGGCAAAGCCGTGGGTTGTCCAATACTCCAGTAGTTTCTTTCTCTGTGATTTCTGGCCTGTAAGGACTGATGTCTAATACCAGCAGGCAGGCTCTATAAAACCAGAGGTTCATGCAGACGAGTAGGCGTTTCAGCAGAAAAGGCTGGTTTAGTTTTTCTGCAGTTCCGGAGACAGAGGTGGTTGTTCTTCTAATAAACCCAAGCACAAAATACACATACCCCTCCCCCCCAGACAGAGACGAGAGCAGCCAATCACACACCCAGCCTGCATGTCTCTGGAAGGTGGGAGAGGAACAGAAACCCCAGGGAACACGGAGAGAACATGTGACCTACATACAGACAGACGTCCCAGGCTCATGTATGTTCTTACTGGATCAAGGTGTTGACAGCAAACAAGCAGGCAGGACAGGCCAGATGGGCTCCCTTCCCTTGTAGAGCTTGGAGAAATCCCACCGTCTGCGTTGCTTTCCTAGAAATGGATGAGAAAATTGGTGCCTGGTCAGAGATTTGGACTGTCTGGAAGTTTCCTCACCTTCCTCCACTGGGCTTAATTTCAGGTAAATACCAGCACAGGGAGCTAAATGCAGAGCTAAGAAAAAACTGTTCAGTTCACAACAAGCAAGGTGCAGCCCTCGGTGCTTGCAAACGTGCGTACGCAGATGCACGGTGTTTGTGCATCTTTCCTTCTCTTTTATGGGTAAAGTCAACTGTAAACCACAAACTCAAACATGATTTCAGATCATTCTTATTATCACACCATCACAGATTTGTAAACACTCACAGCAAAAACACTAGGATTAAAATTAATTACTCTGAGTGTTTACTCTTCTTAACTCTCGATTCTAACTGTGGGAATCTTAATATTACATGGTGACCGAGTGATTGCTCCCTATTGTAGATGTCGTAGTCAGACGTACAAATAAGGTGGATTTTACTGAGGCACATGGAATTAAGGGCTCTGTGTTCAAACAATGAAAGAAAGCCTAAGACAAGCTTTCTGCTGTGGTGAGTCTTGCTGAAGTGAATTTCTGTGCTGTGCTGCTGGGACAAGCAACCCCAGTTCTAACAGGACTGCAGGGTTCCCTGGTTTTCATTCTGAATCAGGTGGTTAAGGACGCAAACCACCTGTCCTGTCTTTAGCACTTGACAACAGAAATGACCAGAGCACCCTGCAGGCCAGTGGCCCTCCCCTGTACATGAGGTCATGCAGGTGCCCAGAGTCGCCTGCCGCTGTTCGGAGAGGACACACACAGAATTCATTTCCTTACTCGTCCCGCAATCTTAGATGATGTGTTAACTGGCGCAGACAGGCACTTAACTGACTGGCTGACCAATGAGAACACAGCATTGCTCACAGTCTTATGTCTCTCAATCTAATAATTGTCCGAGCAGTCATCATTCAAGTAATCAGAGAGATACAGGCAGCTGCACTATCTCCTTATAAGTCCAGTATATTATTTTCTATGCATACAAACAGTTTTACTCTTCTCCGTTTTAGAATTCTGACCATTTTGCTCAGTTTTTACCTGAGGATGAAGTTACTGTTGGGCTACCAAACCCAGTGGGCTGGGACTGTGCTTGGACAGTCTCTGCCTGACCCATGCTAGCACCCTGGTGAGCAAACGACTCGGTAGCTCAGATAAAAATTTAAAAATCGAACTCGAAATCTGAAACCAAGAGCAAAGACTGGCGAAAGCCCAATGTTTATCAGTGAGGAAAAAATCACCTGAAAATCTCTTGCCAACCTGAAATTACTTCAACGGTAACAAAGAAAAGTTTGTCATAAAATTGCCACGTACTGAAATTGTTCAGTGATGGGGGGTTTCCTGGCCTAGTTTCTTGCCCCCCTGCGCCCCCCCACCCAGATGACACAGACAGGATGACAAGCAGAGACAGTGAAGAGGGACGAATTTGAGCGAACTGCTCCTCTCTCTCTGTCTCTTTCAGCTCGGCTTGGAGATGCGCTCTGCGGTTTTGCAGTAAGCAGAGGCTTCCTGTAGACTGAAGGTGAGCTGGGGGGGCGCGGGGTGTAAGGGCAGGTAGTGTAAACCGCAAACCCCAAGACACAGCGGAACAAAGGTGTCAACTGCAGCTCCAGCTCTGTGCAAAGACAGCAGTCAGAGCAGAGAGCACAGCGTGCACCCAGGCTGTAGGCCCCCGGCGCTGGTCACTGACGCCCATGGGACCTGAGCTCAGACTCGCTCCTCGCCGCCCACACCGCACGCAGGCACAGTGCAGGCCTCAGTGACCCGCGGCTGTCGCGCCGGGGCGGCCCACTGCATCAGAACGCTGGAGGGGCCCGGGCGCCGCGCTCCTCGCACCAGCCCCCCGCGGGAATCGCCCGTCACCGCGACCGGGGGCGCCGCTGACTTGCGCTGCAGTAGAAGTGAATTCAGCGCTTCTGTGCTCCGTCTGTGCGCGGTGCTGGTCCCTGCTTCAGCGGGAAGAAGGGGAGCTAATGGCAGCTCGTGTAAAAGTGTTCGTCGGTTCGCACCTGCTGCGGAATTCCTGCTAGATTTCTTGTGATAAACGATCGCCCCAACGTGCTTTTCCAACTGCAGTGCGGGACAATGCTGTTGGATTTCATCGCCTCACATTATTCGCACCTTTGCTACATCAGTGCTGCTCCTGCTGTCCAGTGACTCCTGGACACTCCTGGCAGAACAGCAAAACACCACACCTAGCGGGTCTCATGAGACACAAACGCGTTGCACAACTTCCTTTCACTGTGTTGCTGCGCCTCCAAACAAATATTTAGAAAACAGTCAAATATCTCCGCGAGGCTGAAATATTGAAATGCTGTGCTTATTTCCATGGCAAATCGAATCCAGTGGCACCCTGAATATCTGACTGGGAAAAGTTTTTTTTTATATTGAGGAAAAAACTTGCTTGTCACCTACTTCATCTTAAGTGCTTCTGTGCTGCGGGCTCTGACAACTGCCTTTCCCCCGACTAGGATATCCTGGGCTGAAGGCGTCTGGCGGAGAGGGGGGGGGCGCCTCAGGGTACCGGAATAGGCGGGCGTGCAGCCCAGAACTAATCAATACTGTGGCTGCTCACACTTATTTGCATCCCCAACAGGTGCTGGAGTCCGTTGGCCTGACCCACCTGGCTCTGGCCCTGTTAAGAATCTAAAACATAGCACAGAAAATACGATTCAGAAATAAGCGACGAATGGTGGGTTTTTGTTATTCAAACCTGAACGGAGCGCAGGTGTGCTGAGCTCTGAGCCGGGGAGGGGGGGGTGCCGCCGCAGGGATGGGAGAGTAGCTCCCGGCGCCGGCGGGACAGAGGCTGGACCTCACTGCTCCTCGGAGAGTCGAGTAACACCTTCCTCAGCCAGGGCCCGGAGTCCGTCAACTGAACACACATATTATTATTATTATTATTATTATTATTATTATTATTATTATTACTATTATAACTATTATTATTATTTCCTTCTCGCTTTATCTTAGAGTGCGGTGGGCCTGCCTTCTAAAAACCAGACAACATTTTAAAATCTGAAATCACCTCACTTGGCTGGGCATTTTTTTTAAAGATTTGGGCTTTTTTTTTAAAAAGCAGAGACAGTTGCTGGGATCGGGCCCTGTTGCTATGGCAGCAGT